CTTCTGAGAACCAATACATTTCTAGGGAACCATCTCTGTTTTTCATGGTGTTTATGAGGAAATTAGTGATGGGCAGACTAAAAAAACAGCTGGCTGAGGTAAAAAGCCTTAGTCATCTTTCCATTCATGCCTGGTAGCCCTAGGGAAGTGACTCTCCAGAATATCTTATCTGTATGATGCCTACCTAAAGTGGCTGCCCATGTCCAGTGATGGCTTTTGTTTAGCGATCACGGTCAAGTTGAGCTTGTTTAAATACCATTTCCCAGGAACTTACATGCTACTCCCTGAACAACAGGAATACTCAAAGCTTTTAGAGGGAATAAACTATTGCATGGTCTCTGCCTAGGAAGTGGAGTAAGTTCAGTGGAAACAGCCAGCTCAGATAAATAAAATGAAAGCAGACATTTTTAAAGATGGTCTTGAAAGCTTTCCATTAGAAAACATCAAGGGTATAAAAGTAGAAATAGCATGTACAGTATCTGTGCTAGACTATGACAAGTTCATTTACCCTCAAGTTTAAGATTTCATCTCCCTCACTAGATAACTAAATGATTTCTATGGAACACAACATACATCTCTCTCCCTGGCTACCCACTAAAAGACATTTGATTCCTATGCTAAAATTAACCACACAAACACAACATAGTGGACTTTTTATAAAAGTTCCATATTAAATGCTGGTGACAAAAGTTACATTTTAAGTACAAATACTCCTGAGCAAACGTGATTCCCATTTCTGGCAAGCAGACTATACATAAAGGGCCACTTAGGTGTCTCTTGATACTTCTCTTCTGACTGATGCTTTTGATCTGGAACTTTCCCTAGTTTGGGGTCAGCATTGGCACAGTTCCCTCTGTGTTACAACAGTTAAGTATAATGACAGTGGTCAAAGAAAAGACTAAGAACAAAGAGAAGAGGGAAAGAAGAGATGGGACAGAGCTGAGCTATGGGAGGTGTCTTAAGTGCACAATATCTTCTCAAAATGACCAGTCGAAATCTTACAGAAACTATTCTGAATACTGTGAACATGATGAAGTTTCTATATTATGAGTAAGATGGGCATTATTAGGAATATGAAAAGGAATACAGTGGCAAGTCGGTTCACAATCTTAATTTGTTGTCACTTTTGTGTTCGGACAGCTGCAGGTGTGTTCGTCACCTGATGTGGAGTGTGCAAACAAAATAAAATTTTGTCAAACATTTCTGTTTGCAAACCAAAGTGTTCATGAATGGAGCATATATATACTATAAAATGCACTTTTATGCAATTTGTTAATGTGTTTTCTAATTTGGTTTATAAACTCTCAAAATATATAAATACGTTAACAGATTTTTAGAAACAGAACACACAGGTACTAAAATACAAAAATAAATTATATATTTTCACACACTTCTATCAAATTTCATGCATCAAAGACTGTGAAAAGAGGCTGATATTAGGGTTTTGTTTTGTTCTAAGAAAATGATATTCAACTTTGTTTTTTTTGGTACCAGGGATCGAACTCAGGACCTTGTGCTTGCAAGGCAGGCGTGGTGCCACTGAGCTGCATCCCTGGCCCTCTTATTTACTTTTAAGAATATGGATGTGGGTTGGGGATTGTGGGGCATGCTTGTAAGGCCAGCATTTGGGAGGCTGAGGCAACCTATGAGTTCAAGGGCAGCCTGGACTACATAGTGAGATCAAGACCAGCCTGAATTACGTAATGAGACCCTGTCTCAAAATGAGATAACTGACAATGTGAAATAGGAAGAAAAGGGCTAAAGATGTAGGGAAAGTGGGAAGGGTAGGGGAAAGGTAATAAGGGAAAAGAAAAAAATAGGAGAAAATTAAAAAATGGAAATAAAATGTTTGTAAACAGAGAGGGGAGGAGGGGGTGAAGGGAGGGCAGGGACAAGGGGAAAAAACGAGAACCAAGACCTGTCATGTAAAGGTACAAGATCCCAATAATGAATGTAACTGTACTGTATACCTAAAATGTACCAATAAACTCAACAAGGAAAAAATTAAAAAATTAATAAAATAAAAACATACTACATTCAGGGAAAAATGTACCCATGAAATCCTATTTCAGTTAAAAATCAATAAAACATTTCCAGTAAAAAAACAAAAAAGAAACAAAACAAAAAAACAGAACAAAACACTGATGTGAAAATTCAAGGTCAAGGCTATTCTATTCCTCTAGATTATCAGGTTTTAGTCAAAATGTCAATTCCTCCACCCTTTTCATAAGAAACTAGAGTCACCACAGCAACATACTAATAGAATTATTATAGAGATGTGCATACTGTTATGTATCTTTTCTAAGAAGTTTACAGGAAGAATTCTGAAAACAGCCCTTCATTCATTAAATACATCCAAGTAATAAAACTTCACAATATTCATAAACAAAGACTAACACGCTGTTACAACAGTACTTATTATATAAGGTAATGGGACACATATATTCTTCTTTAAAGACTACAACTACCATTCCCAATCATTTTCTGAGCTATAAAAACAAAGACAATTTTGAATGTGAAATCTGGAAATGCTTACAAGTTATGACTAAAACAATTCTATTGAGAGCCTGAGAATAGATAGGAAGGTTTTAGAAATTAAAGCTATTAAAAAGAAAAGAGATGCTATAATGCAGAGGGGGTTACTGTTCTACAAATAGGTGTTTTCCCCTTTCACTTTATTCATGCATGTCTCTTTTCTTTGTTTGCTTGTTTCTTTTTATGTTTTGGTTGGTTTATTTAGTGTATGTGCCTTTGTGTATCTAAAGACTTTTTCACTGTAAGGCTCTTTCAATGCTGGCCCTCATGCCTGCTTTTTCTTTCCCCAGTGACAGTGCTGCCTTCTCTAAAAAATAGCTGTGAGATGTACATGGTAGGAATGAGGGGTATAAATACAGAGTATAATTATATCGATGGAATTGGTTTTAACATGATAACTGTTTAAATTTTGTCCCTAACTCAGATAGTGATATTTATGATAAAATAGCAATAAATAGACAGTTACAGATGAAAGGGATTATCACTGGAGCCACAGATTCCTGGAGGGGATAGAAATATGAAAAGCTGAAGAGGACTTTCTGAGAAATGAGGAAATAAGACATAATACTGGAGGAGAAGATAGAAATCTTAGATGGTCAAAGAATAAGGAGATTCAGTTAAAATCTAGAGATACAGATTGTACAAATACAGAAGGCAAAAGATTTGTAAGGCGGGCCTACGGCAAAAGTCTGAATTATGAGAAAACAAGATTTCTAAAGGAATAACCTAGGAAGTACCATCTGAGTATCAACAGTGAAAGATTTTAAGAGAAGCCAAAAGGGCCTAAGCTGAAAGGGATTTTAGTTGTCCAGGGAGCAAAAGGGTCAATGACTAGGAAAAAGGTTAGTTCTAGCTTTAAGCACAAAGGCATGATGACAGAGAAGGCAAATGACAAAAACAATCAAGTGTTTCTTATTATGACTTGAAAACTGATTGTGTATGTGAAACAAGTAATATGCTGAAGATGTACAGAGTTTGTTTCTAGAATTCAAGGAAACCACTTTTTTTAATGGATTGTTAACTCTTTTGAGATATGGGTTTCCTATATTACACCCAAAGTTAGGGAAGTCAAACACTGCGTACAAGGACTAGCAAAGCTTTCAATATTTTGTGCAACATAGGTGTTTCTATTAAAATCAAACACTTACTGTATTGTGGAATACAGGGTATAAAATAATCTCAGTAAGAAGCAGTTCATGAAGACAATACTTCTAGTCACTGGATTAGAAAGCAAGATTCTGAGATTACTGCTGGGCCCAAGCCTCTGACTTGTCAACCAAGTTACTTCCCTTTTAGTACAATAAATTGCAGAAGTATGGTTAAACAGTTGTGTATGAGCATTTATTAGTGGACCTATGATATGGTGGATGAGCAGAGATATAGTATTTTCTCTGCCAGTGACCAAAATATTTATATATTTCATAAAGTAGAAAGAACTTTCTAAAAAATTAATAAGATCCGTTTCACAAATTACCAATTCAACTGGAACACTGAAATAGTACAAATGACAAAAGATTTGTTCTTATGGCTGATAAAATATTTATATCAGAGCATCAAGTAAAGTTATTTTCTGTGTTCTGATTTAATGAATCATGTGAGTTGTATCTGGCTGGATGACACAGATTCTGGTTCACTGAAGCCTGCCTTAATGGCTTCCAGCACAGCCTTCCTTGGGACAGTAAAGCCAGAATAACGTGAGACTGAAGTAATATCAAAGAAAGAGAAAGCAGGGCTTGAGATGCTATGATGTTGACTCATAACATTTCTTGACCTGTAAGTGTCCAAAAAGTCTTATTCAATGTCCTATGGGCTTCAATGACCTAACAAGCACCAGGTAGCAATAGTAATGCAATAATGAATGGTCCTCAAAAGATTTTTGCACAATTCAACCTGAAAAACACTACACTTATTAAATGGTTTTAACTACTGAAAAATAGCTTTAGAAACCACTAGTGGTTTCTTAAAAGGTGAATGAGCATTAAAATGTTTTATGTATGCTTATGTAGTATTTATTTTAGTTCAAGTATGTTAGATTTTAAAGTGAACATTAATTTAGAAAATAAAACTTTTCTGATGGTATTCAAGATAAAATGTTAAAGAAAAATCAAATAAGCACAAGATATGTAAAAATACAAATAAAAGATAATGAGCTCATTCACAGGTAATAAAATGACTATGAAAAATGAAACTAAAGGAGTATTCTTTAAATATCCCACATGGGGATATTCTATTATTTTGAAGAACCGGGTCCTCAGGAGAAATGATAGTAAAAATATAAATTATATAATAATTATAGCCTATCAAAACATGGCATATACTTTAAATGAAAATTATTTTATGATTAAAAAAAAGGAAAATAATAAAGGTATGATATTTATTCCAAGTTTTAAAATTCAGTAAATAACTTTGTTTTTCCTTAACCAAAATTTTACTTAGTATTTAGAGATAAAATCTCAGAGACTTACAATGACAGCAACACCACTGCAATTAAAGTCCACTCCACAGGATTGTGTATGATATTTCTATTTGTTAATCTGAAAGATAGTAAAGATACAATTTACTTAAGGATTTTTACATTTAAATAAGTAAATCCTTCATTTGTGGATAAAATCAACTCATGATATTACATGTCATAAGAAGTACTTTAAAAACATCCTCTATGCCTTTCCCTAATTAAACATTTTACTGAAACTAAAAAGGTAAGTAATTTCTGATATTAATTTATCTTTTGTATCTTCCTAGCTAGGCTGGCATTAGGTAATTAAGGGATGTCATAAATCCCAATTTACAGAAGTGAGAGTTGGCTTAATAAATTATAAGAATAAGTCTTTGTTATTGTTTGTATCTACATGTCCCCGCAAAGCCTCATGTGGTCCTAGATGGAGCTTTTCAGAGGTGGCTGGATCTATAGGGTATGTGATTGAGGGTGTGTGATTACTAAATTAGTACAATGATTGGTTTGGCACAGTTCTGGGTGTGGGTGATGCCACCAAAAGGGTGGATAGCCTGGATGGATATAAAGGGAGAAAAAGAAGCTCAGCAGCTGGTTCTTTGCTACTTTGCTGCCTTTAGCCCACAACAGTGTGTTTCTCCTCTGTGACGCCCCTCTGCCATGCCACCCTGCCTTGGAGACAGCCAACTATGAACTGATGCTTATATAAATCAAATACAGACAATACTAAATATTATTTATGAATAATATAAAAATAGTAAATATATAAAAATATAAATAAGGATGCACATTTTCTTCACAGTGTATGCTGCTTCTAGGGAGGAAAGAAGAATGGATTGGGAAAGGAAATAAAAGGAGCCCTCAAGCATTCTGCTTCCTTTAAGTAAATTTCCTTATAGGTCATCTTTGCAATAAAACCTGTCTGGACTACTCTATGAAAATACATACTGCCTTTCAAGCGCAAGATGCTGAGTTTAATCCCCGGTACAAAAAACAAATCAAGATACAACTTGCCTTCTACCTCCTACCTTAAATACTTACTTCTGACCCCCTTACTGTACCATATTTTTCTTTTTCTTTTATAACACTTCTCATCTTTTTTTTGAGGGGGTGGTACTGGGGATCGAACTCACAACCTTGTGCTTGCAAGGCAGGCATGGTGCCACTGCACTAAATCCCCAGCCCACATCTTCCAACATATTATTTATTATGTTTTCTTTTGTTCAAGAGGAGGAATCTTTGCATTTTGCACCTTTTTATTCCAAATGTCCAGAACAACTACCTGGCAACCAGAGGACATTCAATTAATATTTTTGGAATTAATGAATTAACCTGTATTTTTTTCTTTCATTTAAGAATGTGTATCTGAATCAAATTTTAGAAAACATTAAAATCTACTCTCCATAGTTTGAAGTGTTTTTCAAAATTAAAAAATGTCTAGAGATGACTGCTGAGTTCGAGGTCAGCTTAGGCTACATAGTGAGTTCAAGGCCAGCCTGAACTACATAGTGAGACCCTATCTCAAAAAACAAACAAACAGGAATGTGTGTGTGTGTGTGTGTTTGTGTATATAGTGTTAAGAGTCTGACAGATCTGGGATTAATGCCCAAATACATCACTTAGTAATGTTTAGTCTTGAACATGTTTTCCTTTGATTTTTTTGAGACAGGGGCTTGCTATATAGTTCATGCAGTTCTTGAACTCACAGCAATCCTCCTGCCTCAGCCTCCTGAGTGCTGGGATTACAGCTGTGCACCACCATGCTCAGCCTTTTCCTTGTTAAAAACTTTGCTAATATAAGGACAGTAACACCACCTTTCAGAGTTCTGGAGGATTAAATATACAAAGACACCCATGATGCCAAATCCAACTGACTCATCTTAATCTTACTATATGTGCTGCCAAAGTGAGCACCGACTCAATCTTAATCTGTCAGCAGCATTCTGATGGAGTTGCTCACTTCCTTCTCCATAAGGCATTTTCACCTCTCTCACTGGCACTCATTCTCAGATGTTTCAGTACTGGAGAGTCCCACAGCCTCTGCTGTTAGGCCTTGTTTCTCTCTGTAAACACTCTTCCCCTTGGTGATATTATCTACTCTCAAAGCATTAAATATTAGGTTAACTATTTGCTGACAACTCTCAAATTTATCTCTATCTGGACCTCTTCCTTGAATTCCAGATTTCTATAGTTAATGGTCCACTTGACCTCCATTACTTGGAAGTCTAAGAGGCATATCAAAAGTTTGAGTTCCTCATCATCCCCTCAAAACCAGGTCCTCCTATGAATATCTGCATCTTGGTAACAGTCAATAGTAATCCCATCCTTTCGGAATTCAGCTGCTGAGTCAGAAAATCTTATGATTAAATTAGACTTTTTATATCCCGAGTCCAAATAGTCATCAAATCATGATGGCTCTATCTTCAAATCACAACCTGATACTTTTTAAAGAATCCACTGGGTTATTACTACTTCCACTGCTTTCTCTCTTTGGTTCATATTATATCTTGCTTATTATCAAAAGAGCCTCCTAACTGTTCTACCTGCCTCTTGCTATTATCATTCTTAACTCAGCAGCCACTGCGATGCTGTGAAAGAAAGGTATATTAGATTATGTCATGACATTCCTTTGTTGAGAACTCACTAACTGCTCTCAGTATTTCTCAAAGAATCGCTATGGCTATACGTCCTATACCACTTGTGAAAACCTGTCCCACACTTCTCTCACTATATCTTTTTCTACTCTTGCCTCTGCCTATTTCTTCAAGTTTATCAGCATCTTAAATATTTTGTGACTATCTAGGGGCCAATCCTATTTTGAAATATTAAAAAAAATATATATTTATTTATATAATATATAAAAA